TGAAAACAGCCTAATATTCACTAACAGGGGTATCTTGAGTTAATTATGGTATTCTGTAAAATATAAAATGTTTGCAACATCTAAGATCAAATGGATAGATACTTGGGGGTTTATTACACTGTTTTGTTCATTTTGTGTATGTGCATTTGAAGCTTTCCATAATAAAAAAATTTTTTTAAAAGCAACATTCTGGCATTCCATATTAGAAAGTCAAAGAGAATATTTAGAATTGGTAAAAGCAAGAAATAACAATGAAAGCATATTATTTAGAAATGTGGAGGTAAATAGTGAAAAACAGTGAAAACACATCAAAGCGGATTCCCTCTGTGCATCAGAACTGAGTGTGGGGAGGGCTGGAATAAGGAATCTCTCTGTTTTAGAAGGCTTTTGGTGCTACTTTATTTTGAAACCTTGTGCATGTATTACTTTGATAAAATAATATATTCATTCTGTGGATTACTGCATTGTTTTCAAGGAAAATACCCATGTGAACTTATGTGAATAATTAGGCATAGACCAGTGGTTTGAATAAATAAAAATTCTGTTTACCCATGATAATTTTGGCAGTATGCCAATTATTTCCACTGCCAAAGACAGTGATTTAAATCTGAATTCCTACTTCAGATGAGTAGGGCTAAGAAGTGTGATTGCATATAGTTTCTCCCAGTCTGTGCTCTGTGCCCCTCCAGTTTGTTCTTTACACAGTAGCCAAGGGTGATCATAAATAAGCTTATCTCACTCTCCTGTTTAAAAGCCACCAAATGTCTTTCATTGCAGTTAGAATAAAATTCAGACTCTTCATCATGGCCTACAGACAAGGCCGTAAATAATTTAAATGATTGGACCCATGCCCAATTCTCCTGTCACTCTCCCCCATCACTCTGCCTCAGCCTTGATGGCCTTTTCCTGCACACCCGTAGCTCATTCCTACCTCAAGGCCTTTGTCCTTGCCATTCCTCCTGAGACTGACTTCTCATCATTCAGGATTTGATTCGAAATTTAATTCCTGAAAAAGGCCCTTCCTGACTATCTCCTCCACAGAGAAGCTTCCTCCACTTCTTCTCTGTCTAGAGCCGTGGATCTCAGAGTGTGGTAGTCTTCAGACCAGAAACATTAGCATCACCTGGGAGCATTTTATTTTGTTTTGTGGTTTTTTTGGGAAAGACAGAGTCTTAGGCCCCACCACAGACTTACTGAAGGAAAGTCTGCATTTTAACAAGATCCCAGAGTGATTGCACTTTAAATTTTCAGAAGCAGTGATCTAGAGTATCCTCCCTCTAATTTTCCTGTGTATTTGTTAATAGGCACATCCCTTTCTGAAGGTAACTTAGTCATTTGTTTACCTGTTTATTACTTCTCGTCCCTAAGTAGAATATAAGTTCCACAAGGGCAGCACCTGGTCTGGCTTGTTCATTCCTGGATCCACAGCACGTGTGTGTACACCTAGTTAGTACATGCTCAATAAGTATTTGATGAGTGAAAGAATGAATATAATGCATAATATTTTGAGATCTTTGAAATGTGTAACTGCATAATAAAAATGTTCATGGCTTTTGCTTGCTTGTAAAATTGGGGTTATTCTTATCTCCCAACGTCATCATTATGAAGGAGTTTCACTCTATTTCTTGGGCATTGAGTAGTAGTAAACTACTGTGACCGATAAAGATTCACTTATTTATCCTTGTTTTCGGGCAGTTTGTCTTCAGAACCAAAGTTTAGGTTTTATTTAGAGTGCTTCTCTACTGACTTAATGCCATTAACTGGTTTTCTTTGGTATTTAAAAAGCACTCTCAGCCACAGTTAACATCATCTTCAAAGGTTTTTATCCAAAGAAAATGTTAGTTTGATATTTTTATCAAGTTCTATTAAATTAGAGTTTAATAATCCTTTTTTAAACATAAGAAAATAGGATTCTGAAAATGTTAAGTCGAATGCAAAATTTGAACTTAAATTGCAAATAAAAACTGATGGGGCATATAATGTATCAATTTTTTACTTTTGAAATATGATTCCAGGAAAGACCTATAATTTCTGATATTGTCCTACATTGAAAGATACATTCCCAGGATATGTTTCCTAATGCATATCCTGGTGAAATTTGTCAGGAACACTTTTCAATTTATATACTTTGAGTGAAGAAATAGGACCACTTACATCAATGGCTTTTAAACTGGGGACAATTTTGCCTCCCAGAGGGTATTTGGCAATGGCTGTAGACATTTTTGGTGATCACAACTGGAGGTGGGGCGGAGGGTGCTGCTAGCATCTAGTGGGTAGAGGCCAGGGATCCTGATAGTTATGTAATGCTCAGAACAGCACCCCACTAAAGAATTATCTAGCCCAAAATGCCAGTGGTACCATTGCTAAATGACGCCGGCTTAAATTGGGAGAGGCCTACTTCTGCAAATACTACTGCCATTGGAAAAAGAATACTTTGTCCTACCTTTTGGAAACAGAATATATAGAAAATGGCAACTTAGAGATTCAGATGGGTATACTGGCACTTTTATGTATGTTCATTTTAGGTCATTATTTTTAATCAGATATAATATGGAAATCTAACAACTGGCCTCCCTCTTTGGGGTAAATCACTTTTTCAGCAAAGGACATTTAAGAAATTTGGCAACTTAGTTGGTTTTAGAATTGGAGAACATTCTCAAATAATTTTACATTTTTGAAAATAGGGAAATTCAAACACAGGGTTATTGGTTTTCTTTATTTTACAGATGGGGTCGAGGATTTGGTCTTTTGGGTTCCATTTTTGGAAAGGATGGTGTATTAAACCAGCCAAACAGTGTCTTTGGACTTATATTTTATATACTACAGTTATTACTTGGTAAGTATTTATACACCAATACAAAAATAAGTTTGTTATATTCCATTTAGTACTTTGTATCTTTGCCCTGAAGTCTCTTTATATTAAATAAAAGCATATGCTAATGGTAGAACCACTAGTTTGTAACATATTTTTATGTTGTGGAAACTTGATTCACTAAGATTTTTATGATATTAATGTTGAAATTGTTGTCAGTTGGTGTTTAATCATGGATACAGCATCTCACGATGTGCAGAAAGACCAGTCTCATTCAAGGAAATTATCACTCCAACCCAGTCTTCCCTGTAAACTGTTTATTTTATAGATTCTGTAGCTATTTAAAAATATCATGTATTGAGAAAACATTAACAGTAAACTATATTCATAATTCCGTCAACTTTACATATCTACTACATCTATTGTCTTCTGCTTTTTAAAATAATTTTATGTGAACTCATGTATCAATATAGTGTTTTCTATCCTCCTGTTTGTTATTGTTATTGTTGACATATAGATTTCACATTTTTTATATTCTAAATAACGCTGCAGAGATCAACTTTGTTTAAAGCTTCCCCCGCTTTGAATTATTTCCATGAAGTAAATGAGTCAACAGATTTTTTTTTTATGCATTTTGATAGATATTACCAAATTGCTTTTCCCTTGGTTGTCTGATTTCCCTGAAGCCTAATCAATCTTCATTTTTAAAAAGTGTTTTCTATAAAATTTCCAGTAGTTACAAATTAATATCTATTACTTTAAATTTTACTTTAATTTCCTTTTATTGTCCATTTAGTTATTGGGATCCTGGTAATAGTCTATTTTCACGTGCGTTACAGGCATTTTACCCATTCTTTATCCTTTTTTGTTTTATGAATTTTTATTGTATAAGTTTTTATACTTTGAATTTAAATCCATTCATTTTTGCCTTTGCATTTTAATTGCTAATATTTTATTCCATCATCTCAACACTCCTGTAGTATGGTTCATTAAAAATATATGTAACTTTTCTATCTGAAATTGATTTGTTATGAGACAAATTGTAAATTTAAATTTTTCTCAATAGTCGTATCAGGTTTGCCCAGTTATATTTATCTTGCAGAAATACAAAGATGTATGCAGAAGGATATTCATAGCAGTACCATTTAAAATAGGAAAAAATTGATAGTAGCTTAGCAATAGGTAATAGTTGAATAAATTAGAAAATATGATGTAGCCATTAAAGGAAAAAGGGGTCTATATGTATATTCTGGAAAGATCAAGACAGTGTTCGGTAAAAAAAGCAAATTATGGTATAACAGCTATAGGATAAATGTATGTTTGTATTCATGCATGTAAAAGTATAGAAAAGGCTCTGGTGGTTGGGGAGGAGGGAGAAATTGCACTTTTTATTCCATTTATTTGTTTTGTTGGATTTCTAGAGATGAATATAAAATATAAGCCTAAATGCAAGGCATAGTTCATTTTCCCTGAATAGAGAAGCCTAAGAAAATCCTTTGACTATTTTAATACTCGCAGATAAAGGTGAAACATTGAAATTTCTATTTATCTATTTATAATATTAATTTGTTAATTTCACTGTATATACCATATATATATATTTTAAATTGTATGTGTCATATATATTTTTTCCATTCACATTTTATGACTTTTTTAAGGCTCTTCACATGCTTTTTTTAATGTCAGTGCCTCTATCATTGGAGGCACATTTTCACTCACCTAACACGGTTTCCAGAACACATCATCTTTACTCCCTTCTGAGCTGTTCGAGATACAGCATTTTTAATTTAATTTTTCCATAGGTAATAATACATTCACATGGTTCAAAAGCATAAAAAAATATAAAACGCTATACAGTGCAAAATCTATCCAATCCCTGTCTCCCTTGGCCCAGTTTCTACTGCCCCTCACCCCTGACTGGTAACTTGTTCTAGAGTTTCTTTATGCATATACAAGAAAATACAAATATAATCTTAATGTTCCTCCTTTTTTAAATATAAAAGGCAGATGCTATACACACTATTCTTGCTTCCACCCCACCTTTTTTGCCTGACAGATATATCTTGGTGAGTCTTCCATACCAGTACATTAAATGTCTTCATTTTTTTTTACAGCTGCAAAATATTCCACTGCATGATAGTACCATCATTTATTTTAGAGTTACAGCACATTTTAAATTCCACTGGGAATTTAACCCCAAGCCACAAGTAGTTAGTTACATTACAATAGTATTTGACTAATAGTCGGAATTAACTCCTTTAATCCTGTTTTATATTAGGTCATTTAATTCTCCCAACAGTCTTGGGAAGTAGGCATGATTATTATCCCAATTTTAGAGTTGAGTAAAGAGAGGCATGGAGAAAGTAAAAAAGTTGCCCATGTCATTTTGAAACTAACTTTTGTAGAAAAAATTAAGATGACAGCATTAATTTTTGAAATTTTAGTTGTTTCACATAGATGAAGTAAGCAAGCTTTTGCAATAAAGGATCAGACAGAAAATAGTTGAGGCTTTGCTGGCTGCCACAGCCACTGAACTCTACCTTTCCAGTGTAAAAGCAGCCACAGACATTACATAAATGAATGAGCATGGCTGGGTTCCAATAAAACTTTATTTACAAAAGCAGGTGGCTGACCAGACTTGCCAGTCGTGGCATAAGTAATTCAACAGCATCTTAGTCTCAAAGCACCTTATTAAAGCATTGTTCTTTAGTTCTGACCGGCCCTGTGGCTGTGCCGTGGCCAGCCCATGGGCGTTTTCTCATCGCCTTTCTTTTTGCCAGTGGGCACCATGATGTCAGTTCTTTGATTTCTTTAAACCTGCTACCACCTGTTCTTACATTTTCCTGTTTCTATTATCCTTATCTATTAGCCATTGGGTAGAAAGATAGTTTAATATACACTGCCTTCTCTTTCCTTGAAAATGAACGCACATATTTTCCGTACTGTTGGCAGTAGGAAGTTACAGAACAATACATGTGAAGATAGAGTCAAGAATCCAGGCATGTTTTTGCCTTGGGAGCCCTGGCTTCACACACACAACTACCCTTCTTCTTGATCAGGGTTGACCCACATGTGGCCAACTGGCTAAATATGGTTTCCCTTATTTACCAGGGTGAGCCCTTTCACAAGGGCTTTTGTTTAAATGTTTATCAAGATCATTTTTTTCCTTCTTCAGCAGCATGTTGGTGTAGTCATCTCCCATTATGGATTTTTGATAAATTTGATCTAAACATGGAAAAGCAAATTTTACTTTCCACAGATGGGGAGGTTGTAGTGAAAAGCCAGGGAAAGTTCTCACGAAACGTGTAAGGCTTGGAAGAAAAGGCTGTGGTCCTTACATTCCTTTATCCATTAGGAGAGTCGGGGCTGTCGACTTTATAGATCGGCTTCATTGCTCAATTTGATTGTGAGATTGTGTATTTTCTTTGCATGCATATCCTTAACCCTAACCCTTGTATAGTGTAAAATATATAATATTTCATCTGAAATACTGATAAAAAATTACAGTTTTAAAACTAGTATTTTATCTGCAAAGTCAACCTGTATAACCTTAACAGAATAGACCAGTAGTTCTTATTGTCAGATTTCAGAGTTTTGCAGTAAGATCAACATTCAAACACTGCAGCAAATCACGAAATGATACCCTTAACTCAGAAGCTTTCTCTCCCTTGTCAAGGCCTGATTGTCTCTTTCTCTTGCAGGCATGACAGCAAGTGCAGTTGCAGCTTTAATCCTCATGACATCTTCCATTGTGTCTGTGGTGGGCTCTTTGTACCTGGCCTACATTCTGTACTTTGTGCTGAAGGAGTTTTGCATCATCTCCGTCATCACATACGTGCTGAACTTCATCCTTCTAATCATCAACTACAAACGACTAGTTTACTTGAATGAGGCCTGGAAACGGCAGCTGCAGCCCAAGCAGGACTGACGACCTGACAAAACTCTAAACTGACAGTCTGAAGTCCCTTTTTCCATTAAGTTTATTTTGCAGCAATTTTTTTTTATTCTTCACAACAGACACTTTCCCTAAGAATCTTAAACTGATTTTTTAAAATCCTGTAAATTAGAAGGGGCCCTAGCTGTTTTCTGTGTCAATCTCCATTTTAAATATGGATACAAAAAAGGATACGCCGAGCCAATCAAAGACAAGCTTTAACTTTACTTTGAAGGTCTTTCTGAAATTAAAAAAATGTAGCCCTAACCCCTGTCCCCCAATTGTAAAGTGAGCGACCATTGCTAGTAATTCTTTAATGTGTATAAATTCAATTTCAGGTATAACAAATGTGATCATGACATGAAAATATTTTAGAATAGATACTGTATTAAATATTGCCATGTTTACAATATGTAATATGTTTTTAGCCGATGGATTTAAACATGTAGATTCAACTAGAATCCATTTATGTGATATTTGTAAATAAAGGTAGAAATATTGGATCCATCCCTGCAGAACTTGCTATACAGTTTAGTTGAAGTGTACCAATGAAGAACTGTCAGCTTGATGTTGACTGATGAAATAGTGGAAATAGTCATCTCTTGTGAAAAGTACAGCCAGCCATGGGTGTAGCATCAACAGCAAACATACTGGGGTGGTTGGTTCCCTTCCGTATCCCTCCTCTGAATGGAAGAAACTAAATTGGAAATGTTCAAGGCAAGTTTGTGTCTAGTCATAAAACTGGATCAATGGTAACTTTATAGAATGAGTCATGTGACCAGACCTTCAAGTCCAAGACCTTCAGGACACTAATGATAGGAAAATGGGTATTTTTCTTTGGAGAAAAGCTGGAAATATTAATATGGCATTTTTAGATAAAATCTCTTACACCAGTTGAGTTTTTGCACAGATATTTTTCCTTAATATTGGTGCCAGTCAACCAAACAGTATTATGACTTTGAAATAACCAGGATAAGCCCAGTCACTCCAGAGTAGGATTGCTCTTTGGTAGCTCCACAGCATTTTCCCTAATTGTTTCTTTCTGCACCAACTAATCTGATGTCGGGTTTAATTGTTTGAGAGTCAGATATTGGATGTGTAAACTTTAGGGCTGACACACTGCTCAGTTTGCTTAATCGGTAGAAATATCTAAAGGTAAAATACAAGAATGTCATCACTGTTCTTTCTACTAACTACGTGAATGCATAAGAAGAATTTTTAAAGGTGATTTGAATAAACCCAAATGAAATTGTGACAGTATGTTTCTATGGTTAACATCTTATATCAGAATGTTAAAAGTGCCTTCTGTCTTAAATCTCAAACCAAATATTTCGTGTGTTGAACTTGGGCAGAAGTGTCCTTCCTTCCTTTCTTACCGTGAAGTAGAAAACTTGCATTTACGGAAAAGTTCTGAAGGATCATTTTATTCCTGTGATTGAGAAGTAGTAGCAATGTTTTGCTTCCAATTCGATTAATCATTAGTTAAAAATAGTCAATTAGACCGGTAACTTTTGAGTGCTTTATTTTGCCTTCTTTTTGAGGGAGGAGACAGGCTTTACTTTGTAAACTGGGTAGAGTCAGCAACTCTTCACTAGTTTCCAACTAACTGTCATAATTGACGCAATGTAGGTCTTCTGGCCCAAGGCACGTGTAAAATCTTAATTGTGATGAACTTCTAACTTCTAAGCTTCTTAAAAGATAGCTTAATTCAGATTTCATCAAGGCTTGTGTTTTCCCATGAATGTGAATATTTCAATGCCTGTTTTATTATGTACGTATTGTTCTTGTATTCTGAAGTAGTTAAAAGAACTCTAGAAAGTGTTGATTGGATGTCTGGTGTTCACAGAGAAGCGAGTCCTCATGTTTGAGAGCTGTACAGTGAGGCCACGTTGTAGCAGTGCGTCCAGTTCTACCGAGGCAGTTCACTGGTTCTCTTTTCTAAGCTAGAGTGGAAATGGCTTAAGGGTTAAGACTTCTGTGGTATATATAAGACCAGTTGTGCTAAATAAGTTCCTTGTGTCCCAATTTGTAATGGTTTTTCATCATATTTTGTATCAATCAGCAGAGTATAGTTAAAGCTTGTCTTGACATTGCATTCTTGCAAATGTCTTCAACTCTTACATGAGAAAACAGGTAAAAATGTTCAGCCGGACCCTTCGTTTTTCCTTTGCTTTCCTAAGCCTTGGGGAAACCACTGTTTCAGTTGTATAAAAATTTTTGCCACATTACCTGTGGCCCAGTAGAATTAATACCCTTTTCTCACTGAGAGATGAACACGTGCTGCCTGCAGGAACAGCATTGTGATGCCCATATCTCGGTAAGCAGTCGAACCCTGTTGGGTGTTATTTGGTATTTTTGCCCTACAGAATTTAGGTTCCCCTCTATACCTTCTATTCACCCAGAAGAGCAGGAAACACCACGTTATAAAATTTGAAAATTGTTATGACTATTTTAGACTGAATATTTAGACACTGTAGTATTACTAAGCCACCAATGTTAAAGGACAAATTAGGGAAGGAAATTGGTTTTAGCAGTAATTCCATGCTTCATGCTTTTTAAGTGATTCATAACAAACGAAGCCTCTTACTTACTTGATAGTCATAAATATCATTTGAAAAATGAGAAGTTATGGTTAGATGACAAATTCTAGGGAATCTAGGTGGTTTGGAGGGTTTCATTTGGTTTTTTTATTACAGCTAGTTGCTATTAGTAAGGGTAAACTTCTGGTAAAATAACTCAGGTTTAACTAGCTGTGTCCCATTAATTATTTTTACTTGATACATGTATCCTTTCCTTAAATTTACTACTTTTAAAGAATGCTAAAAACTATTTTCATAAAAAGATTTGTCATTTGGTACAAGGGATCTTTGGATCTCCTAGGTAAGACAGAAGACCAAGACTACAGTGAAATTAAAACTATTTGTTGGCTTTTGTTTGTGAGCTTTTCACTTATTTTTTTAAAAGACCATCTTCAGAGAGAATAGATGGTAGTTAAAAAAAAAAAATACTCTGCAAAAGTGCAGTTATCTTCAGCAGGTGGCTTCATAACCTAGATTGGTGCCACCGCTTGACACCAGTGAATGCTGACAGATGTCTCTCATCTGAAAATCAGTGTGAGACAAAGGCCAACAAAGAAACCCTCTATCATTTTTGGTAACCTCTTTGGGGAGATAAACTTAATACTGCCACCTTTGCCCTCATGTATTTTTTCCTCCAACACACAGGCATTGGTGAAACATTTCAGATATTTTAGGCAGCACTTACGGTTCCTGATTTGTGAGAACTACCCTTCAGTAAAACAAAAGGAGTTGGGGTGGGAATCCAGGCTACTTGGTTAAACATTTTTTCTACAAATTAGCCCAGAAAAGGTAAAATGTTCTGTTATGAAACTGTATTAAGCATGGCCTAAGTATTAGGTGTCTGATCTGTATAGTATGTTCCATCAAAAATATTTATTACTAGTGCTTTAAGCTCCAGAGTACACATTCATTTAAAATGGGAGTTCACCGGGCAGATTTCCCCTTTAATATAGATAGAAATATTCTTTATCAGAGATTCAGGACACCGTTTTGCTAACTGGTAAATAAAAACAAATGTAAATATGTAAGAATGTTTATTTGTTGCACATAACTTTTTTGGTATAAAATAAATGTAGAAGTTACCTGTGGAAGTTGTGCTGCTCTATCATTCTTATACTGCAGGGTGACGTTTCAAAAATGAAGCTGACATGACTTAATCTCAGCAGGAACCTCACGAAGTATTCTCAAAGTCGATACTGTAAGCACATTTCTATTGGTAGACTGGGTTGGTTCTTTTTCTCTTAAATTATATGTAATTTGTAAAAGATACAGAGTTCTTAGAGACTCTAGTTCTTAAGAGTTCCTGTGGGTTTATGATGTCTATGAGTGTCACAAATTAACCACAGAGAGTGTTACTGTGTACAGTTCTGTGAACACATGGAACATATTAACTGTTTTTCAATCCCTTTACTTTAGCTTACCTCCATTCTTATAGTCCTCTAAAAAGGTAACATCTGCAAAAAAGATGAGTCCATTTGAAATACAGCTTAGCCATACTTCACTGAATAGAACAAACGTGTTCTATGCTAGAAGTTTAGGACCTACAAAATGGACCTTGCCCTCAATTTGTAAAACGTGTGTCTTGTTATGTTTAATTTTTTAAAATGTCTGTCAACCAGAGTTTTATCTATTATACTTCAACGTTAAATTGGAACACAAAATTTGATTCCTTCAGAGAACTTAAGATTGAAGTTCCAGTGGTTACAAAAGAAATATGGAACTCCTAGAATTCCTAACTTAATATTTGAACTGACTCACGCCTGTAATCCTAGCACTTTGGGAGGCCAAGCTGGGAAGGATTGCTTGAGGCCACGAGTTTGAGACCAGCCTGAGTAAGAGTGAGACACCGTCTCCACAAAAAATAGAAAAAATTACCCACACGTGGTGGCACACACCTGTAGTCCCAGCTACTCGGGAGGCTGAGGCAGGAGGATCACTTGAGCCCAGGACTTTGAGGTTGCAGTGAACTAAGCTGACACCTCCACTACACTCTGGCCTGGGCAGCAGAACAAGACCCTGTCTCAAAAAAAAAAAAAAAAGGTCTGAAGGTGCATAATAAAATTAAACTAAATTATCTTTACTCTTCTCTCATGGAACTTGGAAAGGAAGGCTAAAAAGGGATGTATTGAGACGGGGGAAGCAACCACAAGAGACGTGAATCAAGAGCTGTCTTGGTTAATTGTCTTCCATTTGATAGGACACCCAAAGGGATATTTCTCCAAAGCATTTAGCTTTAAACCAGGATTAATGAATATTCAAATTTTAGGAATATTACAACTTCCCTGCCTTACTGGAGCCTGTGGAAGAAGAAGGGAAGGAAAGATTCCTTAAGGAAAGACCATGCTCTGGGATGGAGCAGGTGGAGTCAGTCTTGGGGTGCAAAGGCATAGGATACTCATCTGTAGGCGCAGCCTGTTTAAAGTGGTCACGTTGAGTGGCATCAGTTATGATTAAGCCAATGGGCTCATCTGTCCATTTCTGTCAAGAGTAGACTATGGCTGAGGTTGGAACAATATCCTAAGAGAACTGTTTACCTCTGAGCTCCCAATTCAGACACTCATTGTGGCTTCCCTTTCTTATGCTTGTCAGCTTAACCATGTGGGAAATGGCACGGAGACCTTGTTAACTATTGCAGCATGACAGCATTGCATAAATTTGTTAGTGCATGGGGGACTTCAGCTCATCTGTGGAGTTGAACAGCAGTGGTGAAAGTCTACACTCATTCGGTCAAGGCTAGCCCAGTTTGCTATGCAAGCGTGGGGGCCCTAGGACCATGGCATTGTTCCTGTGGGAGCACTCTGCAACCAGCAGCTCTCAGCGTGGTGTGGGTGTTGAAAGCAGTTTCCCAAAAGAGTCCACACACAGTTAAGGCTGTGAAAACAGCCTGACACATAAAAATGATTTCAGATGCTTTTCAGCAGTACAGATCATTGGATTTATACGTGGTCAGTTTTGTGCCAACTCTTTATTCCCATAATAGAAAAGCTTTTATTTTCACCTCTAACGTTCCCTTCCAGCAGATTACCACAAAATCCAGACCAGGAACTTTCTGGTCTGCCATGAATAGTCCAGAAGGCACTTGCTCACTGCTGTGGAAGGTGCCCCTTGCTGGAGGGGGGGACAGAAGAGGCGGTGTCAGTAGAGAGGTAGTTCTTGCTTTAAAAAGGAAATAGGCTGTTTCCCAAACACTGTGACTTCACCACGGAACGGTGGTACCTGGTCTCGTTGGCAAGTTTCCAGTATCTCTCTCGCAGAAGGAAAGCCGCACTTTTTGGTTGTCTCTGACGAGTGAAGATCCCCTTCTTATTCCCCAGAACTCTCGCTGGTGCTAAAAAAAACAAGGCAAAATGCGGTTCAGACGACTCCTCATGGGCCAAACTGCAATCATGCTGGAGCCAAGCTGGGCACCAAATAGAAATGTCCTTTTGCAGGACTGCTTGGTCTGCAGTGACAATTTATAAAGTAGTTAAATACCACTGCTCTCCCAAAACACTTCAGCTCCCTGATGTGTTCATTTCTAGACCATTAGGGGAAAAAAATCCAAAATAGTTTATCTTTCAAGATAAGGTTTAAAACATTATGGGTACCCGGCTGCCTGGTAATGGGCAGAGAGGGAGCGGGAGACGGAAACAGCTGCCCTTGGGAAGGCCTGGGCCTTTCTAAAGACTCCCAGTGGGAGCCAGAGTCCCAACCAAAGGTGCCTGTGTGGGATCTGCTAGGGGAGTTCACAGTCCTCCTGGGTAGACCTCCCGCTTGGCCCCCGCCACCAGGGGTCAGTCTGTCCATGCCGAGGCCTGTCGGGGCTGTGCTCTTGGCACACTGGCTCCTCCGCTGGTGAGACCACGGCGAGGTGGACAGTTAAATGGAAAGGAGAGCTTTCCCACCAAAAGGTTCAAAGGCCCCTGATAAACAAATCCCAGGCACTGCCAAGCAGTTCGTCACATGGAATCCTGGCATCAACCCACAGGGTGGTGGCATTACCCCCACTGAGGAAAAGGTTAGAGAACTTGCTCAACGTGATGCAAACTTCCCACCACGCAAAGCCAGTGCACGTCTCCATGAAACTGTCATGCGGGATATTTCCAGAAGCCATTAATCTCCTTTACCAAGCAGAGCAGAGGTTTGTGTTCTTGTTCTTTTTTCTCTTTACCTCTCCCCTTCTCATCTCGTTCATTCATCCCCTTTCCATCCTAACTTTTAGTTGAAACTTTAACCACTCAAAGGCCCATCTCTCCCCATTAGTAACGAATCATAATTCCCACCACTACCATATCCTTCTCCACCCTACCAAATTTCCATCCTAAGTTTATGGTAAGTCAAGAAATTAGTGATCTACAGGTACAGGAAAAAATGGGAAACTCTGGAATTTGACCAACAGCCTCGTCTTCCCCCACTGGGAACAGTCCAGGTTCTATTCTCTTCTTTGACGACTTAAACACTCCCACACCCAAGACGTTTTCAAACTTGCCTGTATTCAGTGGGCAGCTTTCTACAAGCGAGTGATACAAAACAGACCGAAATATCTTAAGTTTCTCAGGTGTTGTATCCTACTCTGCAATAATGAGTATATCCCAAAAGTGAATCCAGTATGAGGTCCCAGTTTTCCTCATACTGCTGAGAAACAGACACAAGCAAGCTGCCTCAAGATAGTGCCTCTCCCTTTGCTTTCTGATCACAAAATGATCTGGGAAGCTGCACGGGATTTCTTTGTTGCTACCTAAGCACAGTTTACTTTTTCTGGGAAAGTTTCTATGCAACCTGCATTGATTAAACCAGCTCTCCTCCCTTTGTCTCCAACATTCTTACAAGCAAATGTCCAGAACTGGAAAGCTAGCCTGAAAAAATTAGAAGGTACATTCCACAAGCCAAAATGCCACTTACTCTGGTTAGTCATAAAATCGGCAAAATTCCAGATGAGCTCCCCGACCACATATTCTTTGCGCTTTTGATCCAGAACCGAATGGTACTGCTCCAGCAGGCTTTTCTGGTACTCTTCGCTGAACATGAGAGGTGGGTCCTGGCAGGCATGGCAAAGAGAATTTCAAAGTCAGAACTGGCAGGATTGTAAATGTTAGATAAAAATAAAGATCCACTTGATTATGACCAAAATATCTGTCCTTGGAGTGGGCTGCAGTGACTGCAGGACGCGTGGATGCCGGGTAGAGACAGCCAGGGGATGACGTAACCCAGCGTACAGAAAGATTTTTTAAAAGCCTTAATTAGTAACTGCTTTATTTATAAATGTAATTTGATATTTGCTTTATCTCACTTTTCCATCTTAAAGCTGAACTACACTAGAAGTAAAAACGTGTCTTTGCCTCCAGTTTTAAGCAGCTGCCAGCACATCATTTGAGGCCTAGTGTGACTCCAGTTTAACTTGCCTCGGACACATCTGTAGCTGGTCTGGGGAAGGAGCTGCCGGCGAGCACATTCGTCCGTTCAGCGAACTATCCAGTATCTGCTGCGACAGGCACTGGAGGTGCAGCGACAGACAAGGAGGAAAGCGTCCCTGCCCCCCAGGCTTCACCATCCAGGAAGACGCACGTTCTAAGCGCAATGTGGGCGAGTGCAAGGGAGGAGTGAGGGGACTGTCAGCAGGGAGCTGAGACAAGGGCCACAGGCCTGCCAGGGGACAGGAAGGCCACCTACAACGACAGCAGAAGGCCACATCTGAGGACTTCATCAGTATTTAGTAACATGCTCCCACGTGTGACATACTGTGTCATAACGACAGAAAAGATGTTCTTGGGACACACAGTCCGAGTTTTCATCTCATGGGAATTCTTTGCAGGCTCAAGTCTTAGATGCTCGAGGATGCAGCATTTCAGTCATTCTGGGAGACAACAAAACTGTCGGCTTTTTCTTTTCCAACGAGGCCTCGCATACTCCACGAGATGCACTGAAAACAGCTGCACGATTGAGCCGTATTGTGTTCTGGTTCCAAAGGTGAATTTGAGGGCAGGGCAGGATGCAGATTTTCTTACTTTGTTTTAATGGACATGAACCAACATTGTCTAATACAATAGCCATGAGTCACACGTGGCTATCTAAATTTAAAATTAAATTAACCAAATCAATTCAGTCATACGAGTCATGTTTCCAGTCCTCAGTAGCCACATGTGGCTGGTGGCTCCAGGCTTGGACAGAGCAGACACAGAGCATTTCCGTCACTGCAGAGGTTCTATCAGTTCTGACTCTCAGAGCTTGTTAAAAATTCAGAGTTGTTACCTTTTCAAAGAGGGACGGCAAATACGCATATCCATGAGATGAGACAGTCCCCCTGCTTTCCTGGTTTGTGGAAGGGGCGTTCTGCTCTGCGTAAGCGAGATGAACTGAGGGTGCAAACACAGTGCAGGCCACTGCGAGTAGCTGTTCAGCACACAGGATAAGCGTGGTAAGAAGTGTGCTGTCGGGCCAGGCGCAGTGGCTCACGCCTGTAATCCTAGCTCTCTGGGAGGCCGAGGCGGGTGGATCGCTCAAGGTCAGGAGTTCGAGACCAGCCTGAGCAAGAGCGAGACCCCGTCTCTACTAAAAATAGAAAGAAATTATTTGGACAAGTAAAAATATATATAGAGAAAAGATTAGCTGGGCATGGTGGCGCGTGCCTGTAGTCCCAGCTACTCGGGAGGCTGAGGCAGGAGGATGGCTTGAGCCCAGGAGTTTGAGGTTGCTGTGAGCTAGGCTGATGCCACGGCACTCTAGCCAGGGCAACAGAGCCAGACTCTGTCTCAAAAAAAAAAAAAAAAAAAGAAGTGTGCTATCAACAGGGAATCTCAGAAGTCGTGACAGGCGAGCGTGAGGGGGCTGGGGTGGGGACAAGGGGCTGGCTGTGCTTCAGGAATCCACATGAAAAAATCCCCACAAGACAAAGCAGCATCTCTTCGGTGAAGAAATGGAAAAAATGAGAACAAAGCTAAGTGATTCAACCTTGCTCCGATATTTCACCTGTTCCTTCAGTGAACACTACTCAGCACGGGATGTGTGCCGGACACCGCTGAGCGCCCGGGACGCAACAGTGAGTAGGATTCGTTCTGTCTCTGGGAGCCCACGATCTGGCCAAGGAGAGCGCCATGGACATGAGGACCACGCACGCGAGAATGCGGAGATGGGCACGAGCTGCTGCGGATGCAGAGCAGAGGGTGAAGCTCCCCACAGAGGGGACAGCTAAGAGGAGGCTGGGACACTGAACAGGAATCTAGTTGGCGACTGTAGCGCTAACCTGGGGCCTCCGGGCCGGAGAAGCAGCCCGAGCCTGAGCAGGGGGAGCAAATGAGCAGAAACAGTGGCCGGAGTGAAGGGAGAAGAGGTTGACAACCCAGAAGAGAGCAGACAGCAAAGGACACCGAGTGTCCCGACAGGGATTAGGGCTTTGTCCCTGTGGGCCAGAGGGAGCCAGTGACAGGACTCCAGGGCTTGGATTTGTTAGGAAGATGGCCTGGGCAGCAGGTAGGGGGCTGCCTCTGGGGACCCAGAGGGAGAGGCAGAGGCCTGGCTCCCAGGGCAGGGGATGTGGAGAGTATGGGGGGCCGGGGGGGTGAGCCCCAAGAGCAGAAGACAGGTCAGCAGTGCATGTGAGGGGAGGGAAAGCCCGGGAAATGCAGGAAATCACTGCCCAAGAGAGTGAAAACATACACAGGATGTTCCACACCGCTTACCTGGTGAAACCCTGCAATCGTTTCTGCTCCGTACTCGCTCTGAATAACCGGCTTCTGGTAGGCCCTGTACCAGGTGTCAAACTGGGTCGCCAGCTGCAGCTGAATCACCTCCAAGTGCCCGTAGTCGTGATACCAGGAGTAGTAACTGTTCACACAGATGACGTCCACGTACGGAACCTAGGACGACAACGTCACAGCGTGTCCACCAACGACAAGACTGCGTGGCAACACACACTCATAGGGTTCCCTCGGCAGAGAAAAGATTTAGATCCTGAAATTATCCTGCCCACCAGTAGGAAAGATGGCCAAGAAGTGACCCGAATGGAGCAGGTCTGTCATTCCAGGCTGACAGCCCTGACGCGCCGCAGCTGGTGAGGGCCACGAGAGGCCTCAGGCTGCAGTCCTCGACCCAAGTCCAGGGCCCGGCCCAGCTGGCTTTGTCCTTCTCTAGGCAGTGCTCCTGGCACTGGGCTTCCCTCACTTCGCCCCGGAGAAATGTTCCCACCTGAGGGACGAACAGTTTTTTTCCGCCCAAAAATATCTTGATTCACCACGGCACTCATGAGGCAGTGCTGGGGGCCACAGAGTGGCTGGAAGATTCCCTCCTCGGAGGGGGCCTTAGATGCCAGGGCAGGATGGCCTCGAGCCTCAGCAGAGTGGCGCTCAGGCTGAGCAGCAAAGGCTCCTGTGTCCAACTGGCTAGTTCCTGATGTCACCTGAACACACTTCTAGTAAAAATGCTAATCTCCAAAGCCTGCGCTTGGACTGACGTCTTTCTCAATCGTGGCAGGAAGATGCGGGCGGGGGAGGCTCTGGTGGACACGCTATCCATGGATCCCGCCAGGAGTGTGGGAAGCCCAGGCGAGGCTTCCCCGTCCACACAAAAGACTAGAAAAGGAAGAGATACCACTCGGGGTCCAAGAACATCCAAGTGCAACTTGTGTTTTGCCACAGCCTTTGTGCTTCCTTGAGGGGGTGTTTTTGAGACACAGCACGGGAACACAGCTGACGAGCCTCTGTCCACATTCGAGTGATGGCACTCACGACTCATCCTCACACATACTGTTTGCTCCTCTGCTCTGCCTTTAGATGGCTTCTTTTTCTGCAGTTCCTTTGCCATAAGCACGCCCTCCCTTTAACTCCCCAGTGAAGGAGCATTTTGTTGCTCTCGCAATTTTACACCTTCCATGCAACTCAACACAGAGCTTCTGCGGGGCTGCTGTGCCTGGCCAGTGAGCCCTGGGGTGGCGAGGGAGGCCGGCTCTGCCCCAGCTGGCTGTGTGTGCTGTCCCTTCGATTCTCAATCTGAGGGGATGCAACTAGTCGGTGGTCCCCAAAGCTGCTTGATCAGTGGAATCACTGAGAAGCTTTTTACAAAGTTCAGGTTCCCACCCTGGACTTACTAAATGAGAATCGCAGAATCCAGAGATCTGTACTTTGGAAAAACTCCCCTTGGTGATTCCGACCATCAGCCAGGTTTGAGAAACCCTGGGCCGGATGAACTCTGAGCTCCCTTAAACACCTGACATTTTCTGAGGATATTACATTGAGGTGCACGGAATTAAAGTGAGGTGCAAGAAACGCTGAGTCCACACTAAGAACAAATCGCATCTCCCTACGCCACTCTCTTTGGATTTAAGAAGCCGCGCTGCTGGCGAGTAAGCGGGTGGTTAGTTACCTTCAACCTAAAGACCAGCCGTGAAAACGGAATGGCCGTTCACGGTTCTTCCCGGCAGCTCACGTGCAGGCATGAGCACAGGACCAGAGGACGGGCAAGGGAGGGGGAGGGGCGTGGAGACCCCCAGGCTCACCCCTAGGTCTGCTGCATAGTTGGAGTTGGTCACAAAGGTCACGGGCCGGGAGGGGTCCAGGGTTTTGGTGTGGGCAATCACCGTCCTGTCCGCGGAAGGCAGAAGACACGGGCTCCGTCAGTCTGGGAAGAGCACTCGGCCGCCCACCTCCCATCCCTCTTCCCCAGACGAAGCAAAACACAGAACCTCTGCTTTCCTCCTATTTGAAGTGCGCTTTAGGTGAGCTAACATGTTTCTCTAGTCTCGGGTCGTGTTCCCTGATGTCACTCTTTCTGCCCCCTGAATCTACCTCCTGGAGGAGAGGCCACCCTCGCAGGCACGCAGAGCTGAGTTCTTTGGGCCGGACACGGCCGAAAACTAGGCTGTGGATCTCAGAAATAGCTCCTGAGAACAGGGACGGACGGGGCGCGGACTCAGATGGATGTTTGTTGATGTAACGACAGGAAGCGCGTGCCAGGCGCAGGCATCATGCGCCACAGCGGCTTAAACAGCTGAGCACGGCTTCGTGGGGCAGCGGGAGCAGAGACGCGTGCACAGAGCAGTGCCACGAACGGAAACGACAGTGGTGGCAGGGATCATGAAGGGGAAGAACAGGGGACATAACTTGGACTGGAGTCAGGGACAGCCTCTCAGAAGAAACGGCTGAGTCGAGTGAACCACAGAGACAAGGCTCCCGACAGAGCAGCCGTCTGTGGTCGGGGTCCCAGGGCCCCGTGGAGGCCTCCACGGGCAGGTCACTGTTGGCGCCTACTCTTTCCCTCTTCCCTGACGGCTCGTTCCTTTTCCTTCACACTCTCTCCCCGTCGTTCCTCTTCCCATTTGAAGGCTGTGGCTTCCGCAGGACGGAACAGTACCCTCTGGCCTCACGTTCCAACCCACACCCTCCAGCAGCCCGGTGTCAGCTGGGAAGCTTCAGAGCCTGTGACAGCCCGGCTGAGCCACTCCAGCCTGCGTGGCTCCAGCTATAGCCTCCTCCAGAAAACACGCACCTCCCTCTCCCGCTCTCCCAGAAGAGCTTGTCTGGAGCCGCGGGCACCCGCTCCTGGGAGCCTATATACTCCTCACGCTCACGACAAAGTTCTCTCCACCCGGCCCTACTCAGCACACCCCCTGTTCCACTCCCCATCCGCCCGAGCTCTGAGTGGTCCTCTGCCCAGGCTGGGGCCACTCCTCAGGGCCTTGCACCCACGACAGACTCAGCTCAGTTCAAATCACCCCACGAACCTGGGGTGCAGCGTCTGTCTCGAGGAGTGTTGCCACGGCCTCTGAGGCAAGTGAAACGATTCACCTCTGAAGGCTGAGTTACGAGTGCATGATTGTTAGAAAGAAAAGGAACACCCTGGGTGGCCAGCCTCCTCAGCAACAGTGAACCCCCCATTGCAGGGAGACGGTCCCCTAAGTCACGCAATGATGAGAGGGGGGAGCTACTGCTGTTTGGTGAATGGGACCATGAACTTCAAATGGTCTGGTCCTAACAACATAATTCTATTTTTTAAATTTATCATTATTATTATTTGAGACAGTCTCTGTCACCCAGGCTGGAGTGCAGTGGCACTATCACAGCTCACTATAACCTTGAACTCCTGGGCTCAAGTGATCCTCCTGCCTCAGCCTCCCGAGTAGCTGGGACTACAGGTGTGCCACCATGCCCGGCTAATTTTTAAAATTTCTGTAGAAATGGAGTCTTGATATGTTGCTGAGGCTGGTCTTGAACTCTTGGGCTCAAGTGATCCTCCTGCCTCGGCCTCCCAAAGAGCTGGGATTACAGGTGCGAGCCACCGCGCCCAGCCCAATGTAACCTTAGAATATTTCAAACACGGATGTCATTGGAAAACCTGTTTACAATTATGTGCTTAATAAACCAGCCTCATAAAGCCTAACTCGACTGTACAGACGAACCCAAAGCATCACAAAGTGGTTTCTGCTCAGTTATAACCCATGATAAATCTCCCGGGAATGCAGATACCACAGAAACTGGGGGTGATAATACTTGGTTTTGTTTGGAACTACCCAGAGCAGCTCCCCATGAATTTAGAACTGCACAGCACATAATCCTTATTATGTGACACCCGCTCACGGGACCTGGAGTGCCCGCAGGGAGCCCCACATTCCTCTCTCACCCTGTGCTTCCAGGGCGGTCCCACCTCGGGGTGCCAGCTCTGATCCATGCTGGGGCTTCAGGGGAGTCAGGCCCATGCATTCAGGTAGCGTATATAAATGATCCCCCTTTCTGTCACCGTTAGGCCACGCCACTGATTTTTTTTAAATTTGAAGTTGTGTATAACTACCTTACGTTAACTCTGGTTTCATTTCAGGTGGGAAAAGGAGACGGAGACAGTGGGTCTGGCTGGGTTGAAAATCACAATTTGGGTGGGGAGATATCTGGCCCTCTGCATGGCCCACACAGAGGCGGGCCCCCCAGTCTGGCTGGGAGGGGGTGCTGACCCCTCACAGCACCCGCCTACCCCAGCCCGGGGGCGGGGCGGGCACTCACTTGAAGTAGTAGCCGGCAGGTTTCAGGGAGGAGGCAGGCTCATTGGCCACAGACCACATCACGACAGCCGGGTGGTTCTTGTCCCTGCGCACCAGCTCCTCCATCACCTCCAGGTGGTGCTGGAGAGACACGTTGCCAAAGCTCTCGCTGCGGGCGGGAGAGAGAGCAGAGCATGTCACGGCCTGCTGAGCCGGGCAAGCTGAGCAGTGCGGGCGGCAGGCACTCACGGCAGCACGATGCCCACGCCGGGACACTCGTCGATGACCACGATGCCATAGCGGTCGCAGAGCTGCATCACCTCCTCCGCGTAGGGGTAGTGGCTGGTGCGGAAGGAGTTGGCACCCAGCCAGCGAAGCAGGTTGAAGTCCTTCATCAGCAGTGACCAGTCAAAGCCCTTCCCTCGGATCTAGGGGACAGCAGAGCAGAGTGACCCCTTCCCCCGTCCCTGTCCCTTTTAGAAGTGAGCCCCTGGACAGTCACCCCATCAGCCCTCTATCCAGCCCCACTGTTGTATGGTTTTGAACAGTGGGCTTAACTGCCCTCAACTGCTTCCGGCACACAGGAAGGTGAAAGAAGATGATCCTAGAAACGGCTGCTACGGGGAGCCAGGAGCCCCGACTCACGTCCGCATCCTCATGCTTGTTGACGCCATGGAAATAGAAAGGTTTCCCATTGATGAGGAACTGGCTCTCTGTGACAGCCACCGTGCGAATCCCGACAGGGAGAGTGTAGAAGTCAGAGGCGGGCCCAGCTGCCGTCTGTGCAGTCAGCTTCACCTACAAGAGCCAGAGCCCCAGGCGTGAGCACCCTGACGCCATGAGCCCCACCCAGCCCGCCCTCCGGCAGGGAGGACCCTCGTACGCCAGAGTGCCCACCTCTGGGCCTGCAAGCAGAGCGGCAGAAACTCGAGCCTCTGCCATTAGCCAGGGGTACCTTCCCCTGCCCTGCCTCTGGGGCCTGGTCCTCAAAATTGGGCCTCCCCACCAAGGGTGGAAAAAATCAGGAAGCCCATGCCTGCCTGTCCACTTGTCCTGGGCTCCTGTAGAAGCCAGGGCCACCAGATATGGGCAAGAGACCTCCCTTAGCACGAGTCCTAAACCATCATTACCTCCAACGAGTACAGGTAGGCAGGGTGCTCGTGCATCAGGTACGGCCACCAGAGGTTAGCACTGGGCACCTGCAGCTGGCCCCGGCCCCCTGTCCCCTCAGCCACGACTTTGCCTTCCTCATCCCGAAGACACACTTCCAGCTGGAAGTGTTCACTGCCCTGGACGAAAACCTGGTAATTCACCAGCCCTGCAGGAAACGAGAGACCAGGGCTGAGGGAGGGCCATAGCCTGGGTCACACGGATGGGGGCACCCTGCAGCCACCACTCCGAGGAGGCCATTTGTTTCTTCAGCACATTGTGCATCAAGCAGAGACTGAGGGCAGCACCATGGAGAAGGGACAAGGCTTCTCATCCTGAGCTATGTGACTTTAGGCACAATGCCACTTCTCAGAGTGAGGTTAACCACACATGATTTCTGAAACCCGAGCCAGCTCGGACAATCTGGTTCGTAGCTTCTTAGGTGGATGGGAACCTGTAAGGGTCTGGAGATGCTGGAAGAGCCTTCTTCCTGGGGGATCTTTCCACAGAGGGAACAGAGCCACTCTGGCCCCTGCTCATTGCAGATCCTGCCAGGAGCCCTCACCAGTGTCTTGGTCCATGCCAGTGGTGACGGTGATGTCATCAATGTAGGCGGTGGGTGTGGTGTAGAGGAGCACAGGCCGGTGCAATCCCGCATAGTTGAAGAAGTCGAATTTTATGTCCTGAACAAAGTAACCCTTGGGGTACCTAGAGTAAGAGGACAATGGCCAACTGGGACCCTGCCCTGCATCCTTCGACCTCAGCTCACATGTCTCCCTGGCCTCCCCAGACCCAGGACCTCCACTCTGCTAAGGCCACCCTGTCCCTTGCAGGAAGACCACTGGGCAGGCAGGGAGACGCTGGGGGTCGGGGGAGAGGATGCTGCTCACTTGGAGGTATCGGTCTTGTATTGGATGGTCCCTGGCGGCAGGGTGTGGGGGGTGAGCGTGTTGTTGATGGCGATGGTGATGCGGCAGGAGGACAGGGGCCCACTCTGGACCAGCTTGCTGATGTCAGCCTCGAAGGGGAGGTGGCCCCCCTCATGCTCTGCCACGTGGACCCCATTCACCCACTGCGGACACAGGGAGACATGGAGGGGGGCAGCAGGCTAGGGCATGGTCGGGGGGCCTGCCATCTCAGGTACTCCCTCACATAAAATACAGGATGTGGGGGCTCAGGGACTTGCCAGCTGCCACCTGCTTCGCCAGGCTGACAGGAAGAATGGTGCTCCAAGGGAGATCAGGCAACTTTCCCCCAGCCATGGCACAGACTCCAGGTAGGGCATGAGTGTCCCCCACCGCCCCACCCCGGGAGGCAGGCTGTCAGGTGGCAGCTGGGAGCCAGGTGCCCCAAGGCAGCTGGTGCACACTCAGCAGCCGTGCCTGCCCACTCGCCCTGCCTGTGCTCACTGCACTGACCACGATGGCGTAATAGTGGGCGCTGCCAATCCTCAGCACCACTCTCGTGTCTAGGTCCTGGCTCCATCGCTGGGGCAGGGCCGCCTCTCGCTCGTACCACACCCAGCCGACAAAGCTCCGCAGCCGCGCGTCCTGGCCCACGTCATTGAAGCTGGAGGGAACCGGCATGTCCAGGGTGGGGCCCGACTGGGGGAAGAAGGGCTGGGGTCAGGTCCAGACCTCCTGTGAACCTAGGATCAGTGTCCTTCATAGCTGAATCCTGGCTCCTGACTCAAGCCTGACACACACTAGGGACTCCATAAGTATTAGTGGAACTTGCTGGCTGATGACAGGTCAACTGCCAGGATGGTTTGTGCCCATGGGGACAGAACTTCTTTTTTCTTTTTAGATGCAGAGTCTCACTCTGTCACCCTGGGTAGAGTGCAGTGGCATCATCGTGGCTCACTGCAACCTCAAACTCCTGGGCTTTAGTGATCCTCCTGCTTCAGCCTCCCAGGTAGCTGGGACTACAGGTGCACCACCACGCCTAATTGTTCTATTTTTGGTAGAGACAGGGCTCCCTCTTGCTCAAGCTGGTCTCAGGCGAGCCTCCCGCCCTGGCCTCCCATATTGCTAGGGTTACAGGTGTGAGCCACCAGCCAGGCCAAAACTTCTTCCTCATGGAAAATGGCACAGGGCCAAGATCTCCATGGACAGGGTGAGCCCAGGGCCACATCCCAGTCTGAGGCTAGAAGGGCCAGACCCTGACTAAGAGGCGGATGACCAACTGTCTGCCCAGGGAGGAAGGGTGGCAGGGGGCAGGGCCCCCTTTTTGAGGAAACTGTTACTGAGGCAACTGTGGCACCCAGCCCCCCTGCTCTACTCCTTCTGTGCTCAACTCCTTCTTTGCTGGACAGCAAAGTCAGATAAAGAGGATCTAGGAGATGCAAGCCCCAGATGGGCACAGAGGACTCACCCAGTCCTACTCCTCTGCTGACCGGACCCAAGTCAGGAGGGAAGCTGGTGTGGGGGTCCTTCCGTGGCTGGGTGCCACGTCCCATCCTCTAGCTGCATCTTGGAACCCAGGGTCCCTACTGCCTGGTCACAGCTGGCCCCAAGATGTCCAAACCGTCCCCTCTTCCTGACCTCCCTCACCTCCCCGCCCAAGCTGTGTGTGGCTGACACTGCTGGAAGGACGTGGCTCGGGCCCTCCGGAGGGGGCTCGGCAACACCGTTTTCCTGGCCCGGGGGATGCGCGCAGGCGCACGAACAGCCGGTCCGGGACCCTGCCCGCCTCCCGCTTCCCCCTCCTGGTCCCTCTCCCGGTCCCCCAGCCCCACGCCTCCCAGCCCTTTACTCTTTAACGTCCCGCCGGCCGGCAGCTCCTAGGTGCGCAGGGGAAGGAGCCTGCGGTCACTGGACTCCTCGTTCCCACCGCCCGGCTCCGGGAGCTTCCCAGCCCGGGGCCCGCGCCCTGCCCCCGCAGCCCGCACCTCGCGCAGCGGCCGCCGGTACCACTGCTGCTCGAAGCCCTGGCGCCGGTTGTCGGAGAAGTCGGCGCGGAAGCTCCAGAGGCCGTCCAGCTCCTTGCGCTCCCGCGACGGGCTCTCCCGGGGGTACAGCATCCCGCCCTGCAGCGCCAGCGCGCAGCCCCACAGCAGCGGGCCGAGCGCGGTCCATGTGCACGCCTGCCCCGGGCCCATGGCTCTGGCGCTGCCGCTCGGTCGCGGCCGCTTGGCGGGCCCGGGCGAGGTCACGTGTCTCGCCCGAAGCCGCCCGCACCATCTTGGTCGAGGGCAAGTGCCCGGCCTCGGGAAGCCCCAAGAGACCAGACGCTTCCTGGAGGGCCCCCAGGAGCCCGAGGCCGGGTCTCTGGGGAAGGGGGACGCTCACCCCCCAACCTCAGCCCTGAAGAGCCGAGGTGCCCGGGCCGCCCGCCTGAGCGAGGCCCAGGGCTCCTTGCCAGGTCCCACCCGCGCGGTCTCTGCCCTCCCCACCCAGGTGTGCTCCCGCCCAATGCGGGAGCCTCAGGCCAGGGCAGAACCCCAAAATGACTGGGTTCCCCCTGTTTCTTCAAGGAGCGCCTCCACTCGCTTACCTGTGCGGGACATTGGGCAGGTCCAAGCCAAGCTTCCTTGCCTATTGGCATAGGGCAAGGCCATAGCCTTGACCCTGGGTCTCCTGGCCCGAGCCCCACCCAGAGGCCAGGGGCCCCCTCTTGGCTTTCTGGCACATAAAGATGCGGAGAGGTTGGAGGGGCCTTAGGGTCCCGGTAACCTAGCCTGGATACAATTTTTCCTGCAATTAAGTGCCCCCCCACACACTTGGGTTTGATTTCATGCTCACCAAAGCAACCCCTGATATTGGAACTTGATGCTGGAAATGGAGTCCCCAGTGTAGTAAAAATAAATAACATTTTAGAAACTGACAAGGTCTAAACACTGTTTCCAAAGTGTTTACACTCTTAAGTTACAGTTCACTATTTATGAGACAGCTTTAGGCCAACTTTAATTTAACAAAAGTAAGAGAAAGGATACAAATGTATAAACAGTAAGTAAAAATAAGTAATTCAAAATTAAAGCTTTGGAACTTTAAATTATTTGGAGCCTTAAAGGATGTGATTATGGAACCTGAGTCACTTGACAGGGTTCTGTAACCTAGGCACCTGTAATCTTTGGAACCAGTAACCTTTGTTCCTCTGATTATAGATTAGCCTTTTCTTTATCTACATTGTTTTGTAAAATGTTGTAAAAGACTAAAGCAGTGCCAGAGAAGACCACTTCCTTCTTTGCTGTTCATCTTCATTATAGATTAACTTCCCTTATACTTACATAAAACCTCTTACATTGTCTAAGACGGGCTGTTAAATATATACTCTTTTAAATTGAAAAATGAAAAAAAAAAAAAAAAACAGCTGTAACTACTCAAATCACTGTAACTCATAAACCAGCCCTGTATGAAAAATGTCGTAATCCTGAAGTTCGTCATTTGTCCCTGAGGCCACATCAGAAGAGCAAGGACAAGTGGTTTGAGGAGAAGGAAAGAGGAGTTTATTAATTTGCTGGCAAATTAGAAGGTTGGCAGACTCCCATCTCAAAGTACCAACCTCTTGCTTCTGAGCAGAAGGACAGAGTATTTAAAGGTTCTCATCAATCTCATCTTCGGCTTAGACAACCTCGTTACTTCCACCCGGATTAATCCCGTCTTCAGCTAAGATGATCTCGATCTTGTGACCTCTGCCCAGACAATTCCTTTAGCCATCTCCTGTGGCACAAAGAACAAAAGACATTCCCCTGCCCCTCCTGACCACTGGCCTGAGACAGGGATGCAGGTCCTAGTTCTCCAAAAGGACTGGGGGATGTTTTAAAGAGACATAAAACATTTTTGTCGTTTTTCCAAGCCATTTCTTCTGTTAAAATCCTGTTAAATTTCTTTTTCTGCCTAACTTTTCAGGTTTGGAGCACTGACCCCCTTCCTTGGACTCTGCCTTACCAGAATGCCAGAATTCTCAGCTTTGCACTTGAATAAACTCTTTTAAACTGGATTCTGATCCTTTTGATTATTTCAGGTTGACAAGTATGATCCAAATATTGTTAAAATTATATCCACACAGATGTATATAGATATATGTGAAGTGTTATTTTTGGCATTATATATGACTTTCATTGTTTTTAATATTTTTCTGTTTTTTCCAAATTTTCTATAATGAACATGCATTATTTTTATAGCCAGAATCAAACCAATAAATGCTTTTAAAAAACAGCAAACAGGAAAAAACAAAGGTCTGCTCCTATAAATTACTAAGTTGATTTTTCATTTACTGGTCAGCCCTTATATATACAATTAGTACAATTAAATTTTCCACAGTCTTATGGGGAGAGACGGGGAAAGAACTACTAAAATTTAGTTTCTGAATTCGTGACACCAAGAACCAGGCCCTGGTCTCCCTAATTGTACAGACTTGTTCACATACGTGTTGATATTGTATAAACTGGGGAGCTGTCAGTGTGGGGAACAGATGAAGTCACCAAAGGAGGGAGGGAGTGCAGGCAGAGAACTGGTCCAAAGATGAGCCCTGAGATGCCCCAGCATTTTTTTATTTTGTTTTACATTTTTTCAACACCCCCTTCCCAGAATCCCCAGCATTTTGAGTACAAGACATGAAGGGAAGGAATAAGCAGGTCCCCAACTCCTCGAGGATGAATCCAAATTCCTCATCATGGTTCCTCACGATCTGTTGCCCCCACCCTCCCAGCTCTTGGGTCCTGAATATACCACACTGCAAATGCCTCTGCCCTGGCTGGTGCTTTCCCCTCTGCCTGGAAGCCCTTCCTCCTTGTCTCTGACTACTTATTTCATCTTATCCTCTTGAACTTCTCATTCTTGATACTCAATTGAAACATCTTTTCTTTACTTCCTGAAAGGTGGCCCTACTAATAACCTATCTAACAGAGGAAAACAAACTAAAGAAAGGGAAATAAACTCACAGCACATCATTGCCCCTTTGAAAAGGAAACTCACAACACAACTATCCCCTTTGTTTTGTTTAATTAAAACACCTGAGGCCTAACCGCTTATCCCTAAGAATTTCATTTTCTCAGACTTGAAGAGCCCTAAGTGGACGGTAGGGGTACGAGCTCCCTGCTCCAGCTCTGCCTCAGTTCCTGCCAGAAACACATTTCAAGGACTCAGATAACCAGGCCTCACAGAGAAAAGAGGAAAGAATAAAAACCACCTGCAACAGCTTCGCAGATGCTTCTGTTATCAGTCTGTAGCAAAGAAAAAAAAGAAACAATCATTTTTACCTTTTAAAAGCCAGAGCAGCTTTTCCTCAACTGCCAACACCTTTCTGCCTTCTTTCTTGCCGTGACATTTTCCTTCTCTCTCTCTCTCTCTCTCTTTTTGTCTCTCCCCCTCTCTTTCCTTGTTTCTCAAGAAAGTAAATAAACTTTTTACCTGATTATATCTTAATCTTTGAGTGAGAAATCTTTCTCTGTCCATGTACAAATTTCTCACCCTTTCACTTCCCTTGGCCTCCAGGTCGTTGTCCAGCCCTCTGCACCTACTCACCCCGAACCACTGAGGAGTCTGGCCCTTGGCTCAGGCCTGCTCGCCATCCCACTCGTGTCCTGCAAGTGGCCTTCCCATCCTGGCCTTAGCCCATGACCTCCCTGACCTCACTTGCCATCCCTTTCTCTGCGGTTGCCACGCTCTACGTCCTTTCATTTCCCCAAACCCCCACCACTTCTGAAATTTCTCTCCACCTACCACCTTTTGTTTGTACCATCCTCACTTACTCCTGTCTATTCAAAATAAGTGATTGAGGCAAAAATCCCAATCAGTGGAGGTTTATTAAGCCAAAGTTTGAGGATGCATCCGGGAAAAACACAAACCACAGAAAGACCTGTGGCTGTTTTTCCAAAGGGGAATTTGGAAATTTCCACATTTTGAAGGCATACAGAAGAAGAAAAGGGGCATGGTGGGGTTAGTGAGACAAAATGGTTATAGTCTTATGAGACCCAGGGAAATCTACACTTTACATAAGATAAGGAGACTATTAGAAGAGAAAAAGGGAGTGAAGGAAGCGTCAAATATGTAGATGGCCCTGGACAGGTGGAAGAATGTCTGATCCTGTCTTCTCTCTGTTCTGCTGCCTGTGAAGATAAATGTGTAATTCATTACAGTGTGAATCAGACAGACTTTAGTTTTAGGAGCCAAAACATAGCCTGCAGGCCTAAAGGTACAATTTGCATGTCCTTGTTTATGGGGGGCCAGCAAGGAGTTTCCCTAATGAAAGATGTGTGGGTCCAGCTCCTCACAGGTGCCTGAGGCCTTTACTTTTCCTTTTGTGTAAGGCATTGCGGCTGACGGCGGCGGAGGGGGGGGGGGCGGATTTTTATTTTCCTTTCACACTCCAAACTCGCTCCTCTACCAAATCAAAATTTTGTTTCTTCTACCCTTCCCATTTTTCTGGATCTACCTGCTCCTCCAGGATTTTTAGCCAGGAAGCTGTTCTTCCACCAAGAGCCTCCCGCCTCCACCCTGCCCCCAGGCCACCTCTCACAGCTTTGCTTCTGGAGCATCTCCACAGCCCCCTCCTCTTCTCTCCCTCACTTGCTGCCCCACCCACCTCACTCCTGGGGGATCTTCTCCCTGTTCCCCCAGCTGGATCCAGAGTGAGACCAGCTCCCTCTTGGCTGCTCCGAAGTGCAGGTACACCAGCTCTTTCCATTCTAGGGACACATCTGCCAGTCACTCTGCAGAAGTGGAAAGGGGGAAACCAAGCTAACAAACACGGGGCAGTCACTGAGCTCCAGCCCTTGTGAGCGCTGTCTGTATTCTGCAGTTTTTGTTTTTGAGGCTTTCCTCCAAATATCTGTTGGAGGCTTTGCCTGAAATAGCTACTAGTGCAGAATGATGTGTCTCGCCTGGGCTCAGGTGAACAGTTTGAAAACTGAAGCGACCTTGAGGAGCTAATTTCCCCCTAACCTGGATTGAGCCCCCAGGGCATTTCCTTCTGTCTGCAAATTGGTAAATCTGGCGTTTTTCCTCTTCATTCTAGGTTATGGCAGTGAGGCAATCGACACAGGGACGTGCCATTTTAAAACTCGGCAACATCCTAATAAAGGCCTGGTGAGACTGGAGCTTCCCAACCGCCTGCCCTCCACCTTCCTCCTGGGATTCCAGAGGGTGGGATAGATGGTGGGAGGATGAGGGGGG